AAAGACACACTCTACCATTGAGCTGTACCCTGCTGCCCCCATAGCTCTTTTATTTACCTCTGTATCCTCAATGCTCAGAACAGTTTCTGGCACATAGTAGCTGCTTAATAAATATTTACTGAGTGAATGGTGGTGTTTGCAAAACTTCAGGCCTCACGAGAATGTCAGCAAGATTCAGGATGTGTCAAGTTGCAGGGCTCCCATGAGTACCTTCTATCATTACGGTCTTTCGAGCATTCACCCTGATTGTGAAGTGAGTGAATCAGGGGTAAGCTGTAACTCACTCTGGTGGTCAGATGCTGCGAAGCCCCCAAATCAGAGGCTCCAAATTTGAATGCCCCCAGGTCTCAAACAAGTAATTTGCATGAGTGAAGCAGGTGGACAGGGGTGGGTGGGGGACGGTCAGTGAGGAGAAGGGTCGGACAGAATTACAAGACCCATGTAGCCAGAAATTCCAAATTTTCAAGAGAAGCTAGAAAGCCAGGTTTTTATAATCAATCTCTGGATTTCAAAATGTTTGCAACTAAATTCAGCTTTTTATGATTATGTAACACTTCCAGCCAAACAAAATATGACTCTGGGCCAAATATGACCCACAGGATTTGCAATTTCCACCTTTTTAGCCTAGACAGTCTGGGAAGGGAGCCCCATCTGTGTGGAGGCTTACGTTATTTTTGTGATTTTGTGATTTTTGTCTTGGGAACAATGACTGTGTTCACACACAATGATTCAGGATAAAGGACATTTAATTCCTTCTCAGGAAACTTTTAGATAGCCATGGGAATAACTCCTACCTTGGGATGTGCAATTTTTTCCCCCTCCTAAAGGAATCATTCTACCCGGGTAAGGCCATTTTGTAGAGAAATGATGCAGAAAAAACTTTACTGGCAGGGTCAACATAGTGTTCAGAAAACCTAAATGTCTTGACTCATGCTTCTGATCACCGCCCTTATAGACTGTTCTCTATTTGGGGGAGATTAGAGATACATGTAGGAAATAGATGTCTTTTCTCTCCTTGAGGAACTTATTAAAATGTAGATCCCTGGGGACCCCGGGGCAGGAGGCCCTCAGCTCCCCTGGCTGCTCACTGATGGGCAGTAATTCGGCCCTGCTAAAGCCTCAGCGCCTCTTGAGACCCTGAGACGATAAACTGTCTGCCGTTATACAAATTAGATGAGGCCCAGAGATGGACATTTCAGTCAGCAGCCTCGAAATAAGCAGAAAAGAGTACTTCTCTTCTCTTACTTTTGGGCTGGGTATTTGTAGACATGGAAAGCCTCAGAGGAGGGAAAAATGGAGAATCTGGCCAAGGCACAGCCTTCTTTTAATTTGGGAATATCTTATCATGCAAAGGACAGGCTTGGAACAGGCGAAGCTGGTTAAGGAGTATTTCTCTGGAGGTATTTTGATTTTGTGAATGTTGGTCTTGTTTCTTAAAGGTTGACTTCTCATTTTTGGATGGTGCAGAGGTTTGGTTCGGTTTGGTTTGTGTTGGTTTTTAAAAATCTTCCCATCAGCTAACAGCCTTTGGCCATTTCACTATTCATTAGCACTTCCACCAGGGGGCAGGGAATCAAATCGAATCCTTGCCAGTTCACTCAGATTAAAAACTTGAGTGAGAAACAAGAACGGAATGTGAGCTAGATTTGGAATCCAAATATTTAAGCTCTTGATCCACTGTTATTAAAAAAAAAAAAGGTTAGTTCTCCATATAAAATTAAAACACATGTATTATTTGATTTTATATCATAGACACTATAGTTAAATAACACACATTAAGCAGATAGTCTCTTGAAAGTAAAACCTTTTTTTTGTACATTTTTCTTGTTTTCTCCTTTTAAAAATGTGACTTGGGAAATCATCTCTTATACTGATTATCTATGAGTTTTACTTAAAAGGATCTTTGACAGGTGAGGATACATATCTTTTGCTGACATACAAACATGAAGCTTTTAGCTGCTCTGTTTTCTACAGAGACAACACGCGCTTTTAAAAATGATTGTGCTTGTTAGCATAAGATTACTGGGCCTTAAGACAAACATGTTCATTTAGTATCTGAATAGTCCGTTAGACTTACTTGAATGTCATCTTCAGATTTGGTACATGTGTTCTAGTAAAAATCTCTGGGAGGAGATACTATCATCAGAACTTTAAACTCATTGAGAATTGCATCAACCCTTCCTAAAAGAAAGAAAAAAAAGCAGGGGCAGTTTACTTTCTTTCATAATCAAAGAGTTTTATTTCTCAGTTCCTCACTTGTGGCCTAATGCATGTCATAAGTCATTTTACAGGTCTTGATATAGGAAATTGTAATAAATATAACTAAAAATTGAAGTGGCAATATTCTGCCACCTCACTGTAGTGCATTAACATAAAATGATTGTTCTTATTAGCTGTCTAATACGTATTAGGAGATGATCATGAGAAGTCCCCCTTTGGATTGCACTGTTTTTTGTTTGTTTTTATTGAAGTGTAGTCAGTTTACAATGTTGTGTCAATTTCTGGTGCACAGCATAATAGTTCAGTCATATACATACGTATATTCGTTGTCATCTTCTTTTTCATTATAAGTCACCACAAGATCCTGAATATGGTTCCCTGTGCTGTACAGTATAAACTTGTTGTTTATCTTAGATGGCACTGTTAACAAGGCATCCTCTGTGTGCTAATTATGAAGGCTGGATCCCATTTCTGACACCAGAGCATTAGAAGGCAGGATTAAGAACAGCCTCTCCAGCTAACTATAGCACATGACGGAACAGCATGGCCACATTTATCTACCAATGGGACTCCACCATGCTCCAAGCCTACCCCATCTGGGGAATATAATGATTTCCAAAAATGTTTAAGCAGAGCTTAAGGAACTTTGAACTTTACTTTTTAAGTAGATTCTAGAGGTCAAATATGGATTTGAATAGAAATTTCATTTACATTTTATTATCAGTTTTAGCTCTTGAGAAAAAATTATATTGAATCTCTGTTTCAGTACAGTAGAACCTGCAGGAAGAAAGAGGGAAAAGGTAAATCATTTAATGGTTAATGGTCTATTCATTGTAGAACTGGTCTAGCTAGTGATGTATATACGTAGATCTATAACTAATGTACATAACAATGCAGTGGACGTTTTGTTTGCTTTTTTTAGCTGTCAGATCCTTTAGTTTTAAGATAAAGCCAAGTATCTGTCACTTAATTTATTTACTAGTGCACTGGATTTTTAAGAAAAGAAAGTAGGAAAATAGAAATTTTGAAGGCTGTGAAAGGAAGCCATCTCACTCACATCAGCTGAGATGAGATTACCTTTTAGGTCTGTCTCTGTGACATAATATTTTCAGAAGAGCTAAGCTTTTTAAAAGCTAGAGAATTGAGGGACATTCCTCTCACCGAGCCCGCGGTGCACTGAAAATTCAATACACTCGCTGCCGATTGACGAATAAACCAGTTATATGCCTCCATGTCTGCGTCTAGCCAAGCGAGGGTGGCTACTCTGGTGACACTTGGGTGGCTGATTTTTTTTTTTCTGATTGTTTAATTTAAAGTATGAGCCCTGTTGAGGTAAAGGAAATTTTCTTAATGAACTTTCTCTTTTATATGCTTGAAAAATACTTTTATGCCAGTGCAGCAATGGCTTGTATCACCAGGGCTCATATATTTGAAATACATCCCCAATTTGAATTTTCTCACTATTACTTAAGGGGAAGCTTTTGCACCCACATAGACTAAGAAAAGGAATTTTTTAAAGAGTATCTTTTTAAATGCATAAATAAATTTCGAAGATGGGTACAGGGAAAGGGAAGAGATTTTTTTTGCTTTAGGGATAAGCTAGAACAAATCAGCCAGGATACGGAGGCTTCATGGGAGCAGCTGAGAGGGACCTTGCAGCCGTAGGAGGTAACTTGTGAAAGTCTTATGTGCTGTCAAGTCTGCACTGGACAGAATCCCCTTTCCCTTTGGTGAAACTTTTGTTCATCCCTCCAGCGTATGGACATGGACCGGCGGAGGGAGGATGCCCGGAATCCGAAACGCAAGCCTCGCTTGATGGAGGAAGATGAGCTGCCCTCCTGGATTATTAAAGATGACGCGGAGGTAGAGAGGCTGACGTGTGAAGAAGAGGAGGAGAAAATTTTCGGTAGGGGTTCTCGCCAGCGCCGGGACGTGGACTACAGCGACGCCCTCACAGAGAAGCAGTGGCTGAGGGTAGGTGTGGCTTTCTTAACTGTCCTTACTGTGTGGGGCATTGCTGGCTTGGAGAAATCAGGAACCTGAGGCTGGATCTCTTTAAGGGGGGCCAGTTGCCAATAAAAGGAGAAGTGGCTCTTGAACGTAGAGGCAGTCATTCTGCTGTTGCAGTGAAGCCATTCTCACAGCCTAGAAATGTAATGAAGAATTATTCTAGGAGAGCAGAATTGGCCATTGGAAGCCCATTAGAGCTGTGAGACCCGCTCATGTTTTATGACCGATTGCCTGGTCACGCCTCACTCTCTTGGAGTTAGAATCAAAATGTGGAAGGGGGCCTTAGAGGTATTTTTAATGGTTCCCCCTCATTCCATGGTCTTTAGTCAGAGTTTCGCTCTTGCAAGTCTTGCAGAGATTAGTTTAGGACTGCAGCATTTTCTAACTGCATTGTTATTTCCTAGACCCATAGAACACTAGCACAAGAAAGTGCCTTTGTACGCTCCACGTTTTACTGATGAAGCAGTTGAGGCCCAGAGAGGTTAAGTGATTCTACAGGATCACACAGCTGGCTAGAAATAGTAGAATCGGTGTGTGCTGATGAATTGGAGGGCTCGATTTCGGCTTGATCTGATCCGTCCATTGCAAACTATGGGATGGGTCACTGACCCTTGGAAATGGTATTCTGTAGTTTGTTTTTGTTTGTTTGTTTGTTTTCTGCTTTGGAAAATGTCGATTTCTCATTCTGACTAAGGAATGACATCTCCGACTGTTGGACCACAGAAATATCAGAGTGTTCCTAGGAGCCACATGTGTGAGTGCCGAGGCCAGTGTGATCTTCCCTCTGAAGGTTTAGCTGTACTTTCCGTTGCTGGAAGCAGACTTAGTACCTAGAGAGACGGAACAATCTGGGACATGCATTCCAGGCAGGGCTGGTACATGTGTGCTGGAAATATAAGCATGGTTGGGTGAAAACCAAACAAAATAGAAGCTGTTTTTGCGAGTTGTTCATTTTATCGAAAGGGAATATAATCCCCAAGCTTTCTAAAACAGGGATTTTTAGGACCCAGGCCGTCAGTAGGTAGGTGAGTCGAAAGGCAATGGAGGAAGTATTTTGAGATTGGATATCAAAGGCAGGCAGGGCTTGGCACCACCTGAGATGTGATTTACTCAGGATGTTGAATGATGAGAGACACATGAGCTGAATTTCGAAAAGATTGAAGACTGTCATATTCTGAAAAGAAGGAGACTATAAAAGCATTGCTCATATTTGTGGTTGAACAATATCATATGAAATGTAATTTTTTTTATTGAAGTATAGTTGATTTCCAATGTTGTGTTAGTTTCTGGTGTACAGCATGGTGATTCAGTTATGTGTATGTGTATATGTATATATAGTCTTTTTCATTACAGTTTATTACAAGATATTGAATATAGTTCCCTGTGCTATACAATAGGACCTTGTTGTTTATCTATTTTATATATAGTAGTTTGTATCTGCTCATCTCAAACTTCTGATTTATCCCTCCTCCAACTCTTTCCCCTTTGGTAAGCATGAGTTTGTTTTTAGGCCTGTGAGTCTGTTTCTCTTTTGTAAATAAGTTCAGTTGTATCATTTTTTATTTTAGATTCCACGTATAAATGATAACATAATGATACTTGTCTCTGTCTGACCTACTTCACTTAGTATGATAATCTCTAGGTCCATCCATGTTGCTGCAAATGGCATTATTTTATTCTTTTTATGGCTGAGTAGTATGAAATGTAACTTTTGTGTGGTTGTTTTACTGTCAACATCCACATATTCCAGTGGCTTCAGAATCTGTTTTATGGGTTTCTTGTGTTACACTATTGCGAGGTTGTAGTTGTATAATTAAGATTTAGTCTACAGTGGGAAGAGTTTTTGTTTAATATTCATTTCTGAACTCGAGAAAATGCTTTTCCCTTTCTCTTTTATTTAAGCAATAAATTAAGTACCTGGAATATTATTACAGGAAATGAGGCAACAATCTAGGCCAACATTTAAAAGTCAATTTTTATATATGTATAATCTTCAGACACTACAAGCACAATAACCTTGTTTATTGGGCAAGAATATAGCTAACTTTATCCTTTTTTTATAGTCAGTGGAAAATAGTCTTCAAAAAATAATATTATGAATCTTAGGAAGTTTTCAAGTTTAGAATACCTCATTTTTTTCTCTTCTTCATTCACTTTTTTTTTGTTTTAGCCTTTTTGGTTTGTTTGGGGGGAGGTAATTAGGTTTATTTATTTATTACTTATTTTTAAGGGAGGTATGGGGACTGAACCCAGGACCTTGTGCATGCTAGGCACGTGCTCCACCGCTGAGCTGCACCCTCCCCACTTTCATTCACTTCATAGTCACGACTGATTAATTAGCACAGAGCCAGCGCCCTGTAAAACCTCCATGAGTGCTTGTGAAAGGAAAGTGATGACCTTCCAGGAGGAAAACGCAAAGTTACTAGTTTATCAGTAATGGTAGGATAGTATTTCTCTTTTTAGTGTATCTAGTAGACTTCCTTTTTTTTCCTTCTGGTGTTTCTTCGCTGGATTCACGTCCTTTTGTCTATAGCATGCACATCTAAAAGTGGAAAAATAGTTTGTTTTACAAAACCACACTGTGGAATTGATGTTCATAATTGTCACCTTAAGGTGCCTTGCAAGATAAGTTCCCCAGGCAGGACCCGGCCCTCCTCAGTTCAGCCTGATTATACTATACCTTTCTGTAATCCGGTCTTCTGGAAACTGTGTGTCCATATTAGGTATGAGCTGGTAACTTGCTGTTAACCGGGCCGTGCGGTTAATACAGAATACCTCATGGCCTAAGCATTCAGAAGAGATGCTTAGTGCCATTTGTTTTCTTGTTCACCAGCACCAGTCCTGTTTCATATCAGTCTGTTAAGCCTTTTCGGTAATAAATTTTTATTCAGGGGGTTCTCACGGGCCTGGACGTGCAGAAGTGTTGTCCATCGCTGATGACTGAGCACATTGAGCGAACCCGGCCAGCAGAGCCTTGAAAGGGAATTTGGCAAGGGCTGTTGTGTAAGAAATGCTGTCACAGGGCTAAAATAATTCTTTCTCCTGGCAATGTTATACAAAGTCTGCTTGGCAGAGGCCTCAAAGATACATAGAACCTTGGAGTGGGAAGGCAGCTGAATGGAACCGCTACCCATCCCATGCTTAAATCACGTTCTCCGCAGTACCTGCGCCAAGAGGCTGGCCATCCGGAGAGGAAACACTCTGCCTTTTGTCTGCACAGCCCTCCAGTGGTCATCCCCAACTGCTCGTGCTCCCTCCCTTTGAATGGAATCCTCTTTCTTTGTAGCTGCTCCTCACTGGTCTTGAGCCTGTTCCCTGGGCTGAACAGAACAGTGTTTTTTCTGTCTTTAGCATCACCTCCCACTGCGTATGTTTGAGGACTCATGTTCAGTCTAGAATGAACTTCCCTACCCTCCTCTTTCTTTTAAACGTTCCTCATCCTTCCAGGCCCTACTCAACCGCCACCCTTCCTGTGATGCCTTCACAAGTAGATACTAGTTGCACTTTCCTCTGTGCTTTCGCATTTTCTTAGCCTCTTCTTGGGTCACAGCTCAAAGCCAGTCTCCTAGTATTCTTGGTAGTCACTGAGATGCCCACCTCCTGAAGCCTTGCTACCCTGGATCTTGTTAGAATTTAGGACTTCCATGTGCAAATAGTAAGTGCCCATTGATGGCCAAACAGAAATAACACCAGACTGATGTATAAGAGGATAGCCTCAGGTCACGTTCACTCCTGCAGCGGATAGACCCAAACATGCCCACTTTATGGGCCTATCCAAAAAAGTAAGTTCAATTTTCTTTCTCACATAAAAGTCCAAGGTGGGTGTTTCTGATTGGTGGGAGCAGCCGTTCTCCACCTGGCCATTCAGGGATCCAGGCTGAAGAGCCTCTACCAGCCTGGATCAGCCCCATCCCAGTGAGCTGGAAGCAGGGAAGCAGCATGGAGCGTGAGTGTCACTTGCGCTCACCCCCCCATCGGCTAGACCTCAGTCATGTGGCCACGTTGGCTGCAAGGGAGACTGGGAAACGTGGCCTGGCTGCGAGCCCAAGGAGGTAAGATTTGGGTGACTAGGTAGCAGTCTCTGCCCCAAAACACTGAGGTTAAATTTAAGTGATATGGCCACTGTCTTTGCAAATTTTATTATGACTCCATCACAAACAGGCTGTATTTTATAATCATAGTATGCTAAAAAATTCCCACAGTGTCCTTTAGACAATCTGTTTAGTTGGAAGGTTTTGAACACTTTTCTGCATTCATGTTATTTTAAATGAGGAGGATGACGATTTCAAACACAGTTTAGTTTTTTTGGTGGTGGTGGTTTTTTTTTTAAAGGGTTTTAAGTTGTTTTGAAATCCCTGTTTTCATTGAGGAAACCTTGATCTCTTTGGTGTTCGCCAGGCTCAGGTGAACTTGATCTTTTGGGAACAGTTCGTTCAAGACTCATGCATCCTGTGGGCTGTTTCTCTCGTCTCCTGGGGGCTCCTATCCCATCTTCCTTCTCAAGGTGGCATCTGGATAAAGGTGAAAGTCAGTGTTTTGTCATGGCGTTGGAGCCAGGCACCCTCATTCTCCTGCTGTCCCGTGGATCCCTGCTCAGTGCGGGGACTGCTGATCTGTCCTGTCCTGGAGGTCTTGACATGCAGCCTGTCCCACCTTATTCTTTTGTAGACTTCTTTTTTTTTTAATCCGTTGCTTGGGGTTTTTTGATGGGGTCAGGGAGGGTGATTAGGTTTGGTTTTTTTGTTTGTTAATGAGGTGCTGGGCATTGAACCCAAGGCCTCACGCGCGCTAAGCACCCGCGCTACCACCGAGCGCCACATGCGCTGCTGACGTCTGGGGTTCTGGCCGGAGTCTCTAGGGGGCAGCTTGCCCGCAGTGTGACGTCTCGTGAGGACTCCCAGCCTCTCTGGTCTCATAGTGCTCTCAGCTCTTTTGTGCCCTATTTGGGAATCTCCAAGCTCTTGGCTGCTTTCTTCCCACTGTGCTAGAACACCCAGGATAGTCTGGCCCCTTTTCTCAGCATTTGCTAAGTCACCACCAAACGTGAAGCTTCTAGAATCTAATGGTTGGCTGGGTCAGGGAGCTCTTTAAAACAAGCAGTACAAAAATGTTTCAGTGTTTCAAATTCTGTAAAAGTGTCTCATTGAAGGAATACACAGTGAGGGACCCTCTCAAAGCCTTGGAAGGAGCTGGTAAAGTGCGAGTCCTGAAGCTCACACCTTGTTACCTTTATCGTGAGTCTGCCTGTGGGCATTTGTACAGCCTCCTTCCTCTTGCTCCCTGCACCCACCCACCAAATACACCAGGTTTGGAGCCTGAAGGGGAGGTATTCCATTTCAGCCCCAGCAAGTGTACTACAATTGAATCCTGGCACGAACTATCCAGAGTAAGCGCAGACCCCATGAGTTAAAGGACTCCGTCCCAACAAGACAGACCTGCTTCAGATGCCATGCAACGGGGGTCCCTGGGCCACCTGCATGACTGACTGGCTGGCTGTGAATTCAGGGGCTCTCACGACCCCTTCAGCTTCAGTAATTTGCTTATAATGACTCACAAATTCAGGAAAACACTACTTGTGATTAGTTTTACGATAAAGGCTACAAATCAGGAGGGTCAGTAAAATGAAGAGGTCATAGGGTGACGTCTGGAAGGGGACAGTTTCCTTGCCCTCTCGTGGACTCAGGGGGCATCACCCTCCTGGCACATCAGTGTGGTCACCAACCGGGACGCTCTGCTGGGCTCAGTGTGTAGAGTTTTTCTTGGGGTCTCATCACACAGGCAGGAATGAGTAAATTGTTGGCCACGTGATTAATCTCAGTCTCCAGCCCCTGCTCTTCCCCGTTGGTGGGGCTGGCTAAGTGGCTCAACCCTCTCATCACAGGGTTAGTCTTTCTGGTGACCAGCCCCCATCCTGAAGCACCTCATGAGCATAACAAAGATGCTGCTCTCACTCAGGAAATTCTGAGGGTTTCAGAAGCTCCAAGCCAAGAAGCCAGGGCAAAGACCAGACAGATTATTATACAACAAGCAGCGACAGCTTCAGGACTGACCTGTCTTCCTCTTTACTCCCTTCTCTGTCTAGACGGCCCTCTGTCCTGCGTCCCTGTCTTGTAGCAACGTCTCATGCACACGTGGCCTGGCCGTCGTGCTCTTCACTGGCTTCTAGAGCAGTTCTGGGGGTCCCCGCTTGCCAGGCTTAACTCCTGAGTCACGAGGGAGCTCCTCTCCATCGAGGAAGCCTGATGTAGACTGCTGTCCGATGGTGGGCACACACATCCTGTTCTGGAAGTCATTTTGTCCATTTTGATGTTGCATACCAACTGTGTCCTAAGCCTCCTCAAGGCAACAGGTGACTCCCGGGAACCGGGAGTGGCCCCTTTACAAAGTTTGGAAGAGAACATTATTGTGGTTCTAAAAGTAGTATATCCATGATCATTTTATAACTTTTTCTTGGGGTACCCAAGGTGGTAACGGTGCTCTATTATGTATTTATGTGTGTGTGTATTGGCACATGCACAGTAATTGGCTCATGTTGATAATTTCTTGGGAAAACATTTATTTATGTGTGAGACCAGGCACTTGTCTGCCTAAATTAGCAGACATCTGATGAGCCCAGTGGGCCAGAACTGTTTGGTGTAACTTCAGCCATGTGTGCAGGAGCTGTGATGTTTCTGGTATTGTAATCATTGAGGTGGGAGCTCCATAAGATTGGGCTGACTATAAAGCTATGAACGGTGGGCGGAGGGTGAAGTCTGGAATGCCTGGTTTTTCTATGCTTCCTGTTCCTTTGATCCTTTTGCCAACCTCAGAATCCTTCCCTTCCTGAAAACATTTAGTGACATCCCAGAATTTATTTAATTGCCGAGTGAGTGATTTGTGCCCTACAGCACTTGAAGATAATTGGAATGCAATCTAAATTATGTGCTCTGTATAATATTGTAATTGCCAGCCTGATGGAGGAAATGAACTTTGGGAGAGTATGCTTTTGTTTCACGATGGATCTGACGTCTCGAAACTGTAATTTGCAAAGGTTCTTCTTGTTGGCTGTTGTCTCTCGGTGTGGTCCTTACCATGAGTGTAAGGATGCTTCTTTTGGTGTATTGCATTAGCTCTGGGTGATGATATAAGCTCATTGTTTCTGCAGTGCCCTGTACCATTGGACCCCGAATTGTGTTATGTAAATGCTGGGGATAAGACTCACTTCCTCAGGTCTTTAAATCTCACGGTAGAGACAGCTAGTTTCAGAAGCTCTAGGGTTTCCAGAGGGACCTGGAGGAAAGACAGCACAGAACACCTTTTTTTCCCTCAACCAGTCTGTCCACAGATAAGAGCTTGAGTTTCCTGTGATTCCTTAACTGAATGACATCTCCATGGTTAGGTCTACGGGCCACCAAGCAGATTTTGAGGGTTTTCCCTTCTCACAGCTCAGAGTGGAGACAACAGAATAAGACGCTCTTAAACCAATCGGTAAAGCAAAGTGTGACACCTCTCAGTGGAGTTTACCTGTGTGTCTCAAAATGCTACATAACACCAGGGTGCAAGTACAGGATGAGGTCCCTGAGCTGGGTTTCCATTACGACCAGCCCATGCTAAACGCAGCACAGGAAGAAGGCAGAGAAACTCATGGAGTCGCAAAGAACTGGAAAAAGTACCAAGAAGTTGGGATTTCAAATAAAATATTTGAAACTGTTGAAATGCACAACGAGAAATAATAAACTATTTCCCCATCTCTATGAAGAGGATTTCTCTCTTTCTAGAAATTTCAAAACAGGATAATGTCTCCTTTGTTTGGGCTGGATTAAGTATGATACAGTCCAGCCTGAAATCAGATGGGGCTGGGATTGCCCAGCTGTGGTCGCAGCTGAGAGCATCAGTGATCCTGCGAGATGTCCTTCTCTCCTAATAGACCAGTGTTTTATATTGGCAGGGCTGTTTAGGAATCCTTTATATAAAGCATAATGTGCATGATACCATGAGTATTTTGCTGCTTCTCTTTTGTTTTGTCACTTTGTATCATCTTTTCTTGTTTTTTGTTAAAAGACATAATAATTCATTTTTTTTTCCCTCTTACCAAATAGCATTTTTAGCTTTTAAAATTGGGTCATCCGGTTTACTGGGGCAAAATGTCTAGCAAGCTGCATTTCCATTTTTATACACAAGGGAGAGCTAAGGCCCTAGAAAATAGATGTGGGTTTTGCCAAACTCCAGGTTCTTCCGCACTTTGGGAAGGACGCACTGAACTAATGAGTGGTGGTCGGAGTTGCGAATTGTTTAGGGGAAGCATTTGACAAACGTAAAAGAATTTTGATAACTTTCTCTAAGTTTTTCTTTATTCTTAAATCTGTTGGCCAGGCTGTTTTCACAGAGACTGGGTATGTTCCCTTTGGTCAAAACTCAGTAGGATCAGTTTAATAGAAGAAAGTATTCTCAGAGGGCCAACTAAAATGCTAAATGGTGCACGCTGAGAAGCAAGGGGGCTTGTTTCAATTGGTTTCTAAAACTGTGACGCCTGGAAACTCTAGTCTCACGTTTTTATCCTTTGAAATCGGGATTCAGCTCGGAAATCTAACAGGCGTTGAAGGTGACCATAGGAAATTGGATCTGGCTTACAGATCCTAACGAGCCCAAAGAAGTTCACAGTATCTTTACCTGGAGCCAACCACTGCTTAGAAATAGATGGTTTTAGAAACATGTCTTCTTTACTGAGTCATGATTTGGTTTTTGTCCTGCAATTTTTTACTTTTTTTTTTAATCAATAAAGCAAGCTGCGAGAAGAAATCTTTTCTAAAATTCATTTATTTCTTTTTGACAAATAAAAGGCGTATGTATTTAAGGTACATGATGTGATGATGCTTTGATACAGGTATACATTGTGAAATGACTTCATTCTCCTAGTGAGGGTTAGGGAGAGTACAGTTTTGGGGGGAAGTTAAAGACAGGGCTGGGGACTTCACTGTCACTGTGCCTGTGTCTGGGTGGGTATCAGAACTATGACTTTGATGGCTACTTCTCAGGGGAGTCCAGGATCGTGGTTAAGAGCCTAAACTTTGGAATCTGATGAACCAGGGTTCAAATCCCAGCTCCACCTGTTTTGCCCTGACCCTGGGGGCCTAGGGAACTCTCTCACAGCTTCGTTGTAGAATGGGGGAAATTATAGCATGTTCTTCATAGAGTTTTCTGCAGTTTAAATATGTGTACTGTAGAACCTGGTATATAATTACCAAAAAATGAGCTATTAAGGGAAAAAATTATTTCAGAGAAAACCTAATAAGTGATAGGAAATGAAGAAAGAAAGTATTTCTGTTGTGTGTCTTGAATACAAGGTTTGCAGAAAGGTAAAAGGGGTGGAGAAAGAGGGCCCCGTCCTCACTCATGACTGGAATTGAGGAGGACAGTAGGTCTCCTTGCTGAAAACGTGATGGGACACGCCCACAGGCTTATTCAGCTCAAGGCCCCCACCCTATACTCACTCAGCCGTCAGCTCTCTGACCCTGGTTTTCTGCGTAGCCCTGCACGGCTGCAGGAAGCGCGGGGGCTGGCCTGCGGGCCGTCCTGCTGCCCGCCTGCTGGCCTGCTGCCCGCCTGGCGTGTGATCTCAGACAGGCCCCTTGCTCTGGGCGGGGCTGCATTCTCTGTGACTGGCAGGGTGCCTCCCACCTATCTGAAGACCACCTCTAAAATCGCATGAAGCTGCTTGACTTTGACTTTTTACTGTGCTTTTAGTAATGCTCAGCCCCTGCTTTCTGATCAGTGGGTCCACTGGTAGAGGCTGTTAAAAACCACATTCAGTTCCACGCCCATTTACTGAGAGTCAAGTAGGTGGAGCCACACACGGTGCCGGGACCCGGAGAGCGGTGGCTAATTGTCGAGCTGTGTTCCTCACCGTGGCGGGCCCACCTTATTACTGCAATTAAGAGCCAGATTTGAGAGATGCTATTAGAGATAATGCTGCACACTTAGCCACCTTAAAGAGCTTGTGAGAGCGGGTCTCCAAGTGTACACAGATGGGAATTAACAGAGATTAAAATAGATTGTGAGGTGCTCTAACTTGTAGGGCTTTTAATAGTTCAGGAAATCAGCAGAGTTTAAACAACATGCATCCGACTTCATGCTAGACTCTGAGTGTCCTTTCTGCGGGGACGTTCTGTATGATTTTTCCCTCTCCGCGTCCCTAGACTCTGGAGGATAGGAGGGCAGCTGCCTCTTTGGCACAGGGCATGGCCTCCTGACACAGTTGGTGACGATGTTCAGCTTCTGGCTGCTTCTGGGAGCCCCAGGCCTAACAGCCACAGCTGTGTTCCTCGGGGTTTCTATCGACCCTGCTTGGACCCCAGTGGAGGAAAATACAGCCCACCTCCTCACACACCTCTGACACAAGAAAAAGAGAATCGGGGATTTAGGTACGAAAACAACGAGCTGGATGAAGCATGTGACTTTTCTGCAGATGGCCCGTGTTTTAGAGAATAGCTTTCCTCTTTGTTCTCGACAGTTCAGGTGGCTACTCAGAAAGGTCAGAGGAC